CAAACACACTGGCTCCTTTCTACAATTTCACACCTTAACATGTATTATATCTCTACCTGGATTACCCCTACTTGCTCCTTGAATCCATTTTCTCCAACCCCCAATCCTATTCTGCCTCTTACTCAGTTTTCAAAACCCAAATCGAAGGGCAATTCCTCTTTGAAAACTTTCTAAACTTCTTACTATCTATTTTACATCTGCCCAAACTCATAATTCTAAAGTATTTTGAGTTTACCTGTGATATTGCATATTCTCTGTTTACTGTCTCTTCCCACTAAACTTGTCCTGTTTAATTTTCCACCCTCAGTATCCAGAAGTGCTCTGAGACTGCTGATTCAATCAATCAATCACTAAGAGTGCAAGGAGAATCTTTTTGTATGTAGGTTGCACTGTTTTAGGGACCATGTGGTGTTCCAGAAAATATGAATTTCCACCCTAAAGAACTGACAGTCTTTAAAAAAGAAACATTTATTTACTTATTTGAGAGAAATATCATGGAGGGGATGGGCAGAAGAAGAGCGAGAGAGTCTCAAGCAGACCCTGAGCTGAGTGCAGAGCCCACTACCGCGGCTCAATCTCAGAACCCTGAAATCACCACTTGAGTCAGATGCCTCCACTAATTGCACCACCCAGACTTCCCTGACAATCTTTATAGAGGAATAAAATTCATTCTGATGGAAACTACAAGAGCAATCAGGTACATTAAGGTATTAAATCAGTGATCCAGATAATAAGCCCCAAATATGAATAGGGGAGGGAGAAAGCAACATGACATGCAGTTTCAAGTTCAGGTTTTTAGAATCCCTGGAAGAAAACTTCACAAACTATATCCTACAGAACGTTAGACCAAGTTTAAGAGATATTCCATGAGCAGGAGAAAAGAAGAGGCAAAAGTGACAGTATGGATGAAATTAATGTAGCCAACACTACATGCTATATGCCCTTCTTGGAGGTTTTCTATGAATGCTTACAAAACAAAGATTTGAGGAGCACCTGGGTAGCTCAGTTGGTTTTGGACTGACTCTGGATTTCAGCTCAGGTCATGATATCGAGCCCCGAGTCAGCTCCATGCTGGGCATGGAGCCTGTTTTAAGATTTTCTCTCTCCCTCTCCCTCTGCCCCCACCCTCAGGTGCACATGCATGCTAAGAAAGAAAAGAAAGAAGAAAGAAAGAAAGAAAGAAAGAAAGAAAGAAAGAAAGAAAGAAAGAAAGAAAGAAAGAAAGAAAGAAAGAAAAGAAAGAGAACTTGAGATGTTCTACAGAAAGCAGTTTAAATTTACTTAACTTAGTTGACCTTAGAGCCATTTATTCACGAACCATTTACAGGGTGATGCTTACTTTCTATACATTTTGCCAATCAGTTTTATAAAAACACATTGATCAGAAAACAAAGGAACAAAGTTACAGATTTTGAGTAACTATAATAATTCTTGGAATATTATTATAAGGAATTTCTTAGGGAAATAGTTTATAAGTCTGACAAAAACACAGTTCAGCTAACGTCTTGTGATTGGACTAGAAATGATTAACTTTAGTAAGGGTCACAAATATGAAAATATAAACAAAATTCTCAATTACCTTTACTTATTTTTCCAGAAGAATCACTAATTACTGTGAGTATACTTATTCTACTTCTTTCAGCCTGTGGCATAATACAAAATTTAGTCATCCGACTACTTGGATTCCCTGGCTCTTCTCCATTTCTGTCAGTAACATCCTTTTTTGTGGGGGAAGGAGAGGAGCTAGTCAAAATCATTTGTAAGCCTGCTGTCCTTGCCCATATAAATAATAATTTATTAGTTATGTATATATATAGAGATCTGTACATATTTTGAGACAAAAAAAATGATATCTCATAATTTCTCCTAAAAGGGAAGAAGGCAATGAGAAGAGTCTCTGATAGAACAAATGCCACAAAGGGAGCGGCTTTGGAGTTATCAGTTCAAATTCTTGTACTCTAGAGGAAGAAGTCAAGGCTAGAGGCATACTCTCTACTTTTACTCCCACCACAAAATATGGATTAAATCTTGTAATGTCCACCCTAATCTTATTGCCATAATCCCATTAGGTAGATAATACCAAAATAAGGGCAAACTATTCAGCAGAGCTAAGTGCTCTGTAAACTTAAATCACTATTTCATCTAACCCTGTTTCATGCGTCATTTTGAACTGATTCTTTAACATAAGGATTATTTATTTTTAAAAATGTTAATTCATTACTTATTATGCATAAGGCCCTATGCTTCATACCAGAAATTCAAAAGATATATGAAATAGGGTTTCTACGTACCTAACAATTTTTTGCCATTATACTTCACATGGCCTTCAAAGTGGAGACCCTGCTTCATAACGCTATGTCTTCCATACTCCTAGAGTCAGTAACCGATGGAAAGTCATACGCAGCAAGATTTTACACAGTAAGTATGTTTGCACACAATCCCATGAACCTCTCTAAGCATCAGCTTTATAGTCTATAAAATGAACACAATGTTGGTAACTTTCTCACATGTTTTTTTGAGGAATTAAAAATAGCATGTATATGAAAACATACACGGATATTTTAAAGGAGTAAAAGAATTTAAATGAGGAGATTAGGTATACATAGAGAAGGCAGTATATTGTAAGCAAAAGACAAAGGCAAATATGAATCAAGAACATCTATTATTTTTTGTATGCGTCTACCTAATTAATTTTCAAGGAGCCAGAGAAAGATTCCTGTCATCTGTGAGAAACCAAAAAGATTGACATCAACAAGATAATAGTGTATAGGATAGAAATAAAAAGTTGTTTTAGGGGCACCTGCGTAGCTCAGTCAGTTAAGTGTCTGCCATCAGCTCAGGTCATGATCTCAGGGTCCCAGGATCGAGCCCGTCAGGCTCTCTGCTCAGGGGGATTCTGCTTCTCCCTCTCCCTCTGCCCTCCTCTCTTCTGTGCTTTCTCTCTCAAATAAATAATCTTTTTTAAAAAGTTGTTTTAATATCAAAAGGATACATTTTCTTTTTTATTGAGCTATAACTAACATGAAATTGTATTAGTTTTAGGTGTACAACATAATGATTTGAGATATATACATATATATGTATATATACAGCAAAATGATCACAATAAATTTAGCTAACATCCATGATCACACATTTACAGTTTTTTCTTATAATGCGAACTTTTAAGATCTATTCTCTTAGCAATTTTCAAATATATGATACAGTGTTATTAACTATAGTCACCATGCTGTATGTACATGGTATCCCCAGAACATATTTATCTTAAAACTGGAAGTTTGGCTCTCTTCACCCATTTCACCCATTCCTACTCCTACCTCATCCAACCACCAATCTGTTCTCTGTATCTATTAGTTCAGGTTTTTGTTTTTGTTTTTTAGATTCCACGTATACATGGTATCATACAGTCTTTGTCTTTCTCTTATTTTACATTTTACAATGCCTTCAGATTTAATCCACATCATCCATATTGTGACAAACAGTGAGGTTTCCTTATTTGGGAAATGGCTGAATAATATTCCATTGTGTTTGTGTATGTAAATATATATCACATTTTCCTTAACCATTCATCTGTTGATAGACACTAAGGTTGTTTCCATGTCTTGCCTATTGTGAATTATGCTGCAGTAAACACAGGGTTGAGATATCTTTTCAAGACAGTGATTTCATTTCCTTTGGATAAACTACCCAGAAGTGAAATTGCTGGATCACATGGTAGTTCTGTTTTTAATTTTTTGAGGAACCTTCACATTGTTTTCCAAATTGGTTGTATCAATTTATAAGCCCACCACCAGTGCATGAGAATTCTCTTTTTTCCACATCTTTCCCAACACTTTATTTCCTGTCTTTTTGATACTAGCAACAGGTGTGGGGCGATACCTCCTTGTGGCTTTGATTTGCACTGCCCTGATGATTAGTGATGATGAGTCCCTTTTCATGTATGTGTTGGACATTAGATGTTTTCTTTGGAAAAACATTCAAAAGGTACACATTTTCTTTATTCATCCATCAGTGGACATTTAGGTTGTTTCCACATCTTTGCTCCTGCAAATAATGCTGCAGTTAACATGGTAGTGCTAATTGAGATCCTGTCCCAATTCCCTTGGATATATACACAGAAATGGAATTGCTGGATCATACGGTAATCTATTTTTAATTTCTTGATGGACTTCCATACTGTTTTCCACAGTGGCTGCACCATTCTAAATCCCCACCAACAGTGCACAAGGGTTCCTTTTTCTCCACATCATAGCCATCCTAACAGGTATGAACTGATCATATTGCATCATACATTTAAAAAATCTGTTAAGAGGGCAGATTTCATGTTAAGAGTCCTTACCACAATGAGAGAGAGAGAGAGAGAGACACAGAGAGAGAGAGAATGTTAAGCATCTGAAGCATCCCAAAGGGAATGAGACAGGAACTTACTTAATACCTCTGTGACATGTACCCATTTACATCCAGTGAGAAAATATAATCAAAAATTACCTTAAGCAAAGCCCCTGGGTGTCTCAGTCAGTTTAAGAGTCTGCCTTTGGCTCAGGTCATGATCCCAGGGTCCTGGGATGGAGCCCTGCATGGTGTTCCCTGCTCAGTGGGGAGTCTGCTTCTCTTTCTCCTCCTGACCCTCCCTCCTGCTCATTCTCTCTCTCCCTCTCTCTCTCTCTCTCTCAATAAATAAATAAATAAATAAATAAATAAATAAATAAATAAATAAAATCTTTTAAAAAATTACCTTGTATCAGGAGCTTTGTGTAGATAACAAGTATGTTGGTGGTAGATAACAACCAAGATTGAAACCTCAAAACTAAAGTTCTCTTCACACATTAGAGTTAGGTTAAATATTTTTTTTTATTTTATTTAAATGTAGTTTGCCAAATTTTGTATAAAACTCAGTGCTCATCTCATCAGGTGCTCTGCTTGATGCCCTTCACCCAGTTACCCCATCCCCCCACCCAACTCTTGAGTAAAGTTAAATATGTTAGCTGAGCTGCTTTAAGATCAAATGGAATCTTTTTTCTAAGCAGAAATAATTTCTTCAGCAACCATTATAACAATTCTGGAACATTCTCTTATTCTCTAGTCCCTCAGTGTTCATCATGCAATGTTCGGGTCAATGTTACTTTGGAATTTATTATCAGGTCATTTTATGGGTACACACTTGGGTGTTATCATTTCCCTGGATGCTCCATAAGGATGTGTCCTGTTAGCCCTTTAGTTTTTATGTGCACTTATCACATGTTGGCAATGACTCTGGATCTAAGGTCCAATTTGGGGCACTGTTTTTGCCTTTTATTTGACTTGGACACACGTTTCATAAGCCTCAGGTTTGGCATCTATAGTACAGGTTAATAATATCTGTTTATATCAAGGATTTAAGGTGATAGAATTTGCTTCATTTCCCTAATACTCCCAGCCCACTACCCTGCACCAAGCACCATCCCAAGCATAGGAAATGCACATAGTCACTGCCCTTGGAGTGTTCCAGATTTAGCGTAGAAACAGACTTGTATATAGGTGATTAAAAATACCATGCAATAAGTGCTACGTTAGACAGCTGTTGTGAAGGTCAAATATAATAAAACAGATGAAAACACTTTGTGAGGTGTAAAGTTCTATTCAAAGGGGAGCTCTTATCATTCCAGGACTCTCCTCTTCTTAGTCATCAATGCCAATCCCATGTTTTATTCAGGCTTTAAATCAAGCTGGATCCCTCCACAGAGTCTTCTTAGCAGTATCAGCCAACAGGCACAAAATAGCTGTGTCTTCTTTTCTTTCCTTATGAACTTGTAATCTGGGCTTTGCAGTAATTGCTGAAAAAAATAATTTCCATTTTAAGAAAAAAAATCCTCTCATCTTAGTTGAAGCACCTCGACTAAAGCCTAGAACTTAGGTCTCAGTGTGAGGAGTAGTTTAGTTTGAGGTTTGAGTCTGGGTTACTGAATTTCCTATCAAAAAATAGCTTAATTTTGGAAAGAAAACTCTGTGATGATCCAACAGAATGCCTCTGCTTGGCACATGCTCCTGCTTTATAGCCTTTGTTAGATGCTTTCTCCTTATGAGGACGTGGGGGATATAGCAGCTATACTAGAACCACAGGCCATTTTAATAACCCACCCTGGATGGATTGGGACCTGTTGAAAAGGCATTCTGTAAACCAAAGACTAGTTAAAATAGGGCCAAGTGGTTCTCATCCTACAAGGATTTTATTAGGGACTAAATGCCTAACAAGAGATGTTCTAGGGGGCAGAGGGAATTATTGTAGAAGCAGGCAGCCACTCCCGGCTCGCTCCCGGCTACTCCAAAGGGAGGCAAAAGTCCACCTCACAAGGTTGTTGGAAGGGTTTCATGGAATTGAGCATGTGGCACTAGCTGCTTTGCCATATATGCAATACACATATTAATTGGATTTTGTTTATCCGTGTTATTTTAACATTCCCTAGGCATTAAGGCCTCGTTAATCTCCACTTTATTTGCAAATCCTTCCTTGAAACTTCTTTCCCCAGTGAACGTTTTCTCTGCATTCCTCTAATACCAATGGGCAAGGACGAATGTCTTTTCTTCCACAACAGTTTTCAGATCAGTATATTCCTTTCCATTTCAATTTTTTCCACACCTGTTAGCATCTTAGCAATATGTCCCTGCACTATGAAAACAGCTTCTTAAATCTCCCTGGACACCATTCTTTTGTATCAATCTTCTGGTTCCTTATTGCCTGAAGGACTAATTAACTTAACAGATATTAATTAGGCCTTCACATATTCCTGAAGGAGGACCAGGACTGGAGCAGACAAGGAACAAGGTCAATGGATTAATCTGCAGTAAGGGTTTAAAGAAGGTTTTGGCATGATTCCTACATTTAATTGTTTTTGTTGAGCTCCAGAATTATTGAATACCTAAATATTAAATAACAGAAAAGAATTCTTACAGTTGAAGAATAATACAGAAAAGAACCCATGAGTATTTCTTTATATATTCATTTATTGCTCAAGCATGTAGATTATCTATGTAATTAGACCATCTCTCTGGCCAAATATATTAGACCACCTGTTTATTCCAGACATTGATAAAAAGTCCAAAGTTAATTACTAATGAGTTATTAAAATAGCAAAAGAAAGGAAAAGAAAGAAGATCCTTTCAGATCTTAGGTGGCCCCACAGCATTTTTATAGCGGACAAAAAGGCCCAAACTCTGTCTTTTGATGCTTTAACTTCTTATTCATTCCCACACAGTCAAATTGGACTACTGGTTATCTTAGAATATCCTTTCTGGTTTCCTGAACTTATGTCACTGCTATCTTTACTGGAGGGCAATGCTTACTGCTATTTTTGGATTTTGCCATAATCTACTAATTTTTCAAGGAGTAGATACAATCTGTCTCCTGCAGGCAAGTATCATTCTCTGGTCACTCCCCTCCTGCTAGAAATGGTTTTTTCTTCTTGTGAAGCTTTAAATCCCTTGTGATCTGTACCCTATAGTTACCCAATGGACTCCTTGTTTCCATGCTCCCCAATCTCTCATTTTCCTTGTCCTCAGCACCCTTCCACCTGCCCATCTGCCTCCTCCTTTCAAGGACCTAGAAAAGAAAAAGAAAAAAACCCTTTCCATCAAAATAATATGAGTAACTCATATTACTAGCCTTCTATGTGCATCTTCTCTCCTGCCCTCTTTGAGGGAAGTTTCATATCAGCAACACTCCACCACAGTACTGATCAATCACAATCATTTTCAGAGGTGCCATATTTCATTTGTTACCAATATTATTTGAAATGCCAAAATTTGCAAAATAGTTATCCTTTATATTACACCATTCTCATTTAATGGTATTCCAAAATAAGTCAGAGAGACTTATTTTCTAATAAGTGTGCTACACATGGGACAACTGTCTTTTTACTAGATCACAGCATGGGGAAAAAAAGAGGGGCTGAAAATTGTTGTATGATATTTTTTTATACAGTTGTTGTATAAGTGCCTTCATCATCAAGGCATCCAGTTATTATCCTTGACAAGTATAGGTACTTGATCAACCTGTGCTGTTTGAATTAACAACCAAAGAGTGATATAGGGTGCCTCTTGAGACTTCAAAGTATATGATTAAGAAGAACAAAGACATGGTAATAAGAGAATATAAATCAAATGACTAACTTACCGACTTAAAGATGCATATCATCACCAGGTAACATCTGACAGCTTCTCTTCAATGAGATAAGGACAGCTCACTTCAAAAACAAATATGGTGTACTGTCATGAGAAATGAATTGGAAATCATGAGATGGTATTTGTTCCACATTGTTATTTTCTAACTGCTTTAACTTTGGGCAAGTCACCTATCTCACTGAGCCTCAGTTTTCTTATTTTTGAAAGGACTAAGACATCAATCTCATCTAACTTTGACAGTGTTCCTAAAGTACTTTATAAAGCACTATGCAAATATAAGGTGATATTGCTTCGATTATTGTGTCCATGGAGGTAATTCATTTCCATTTACTCAAGTTTGTCTATACGTGCATTTCTAATGCATACCTCTCCATGGCCATTTAACTTGTTTTTATCAGCAAGATAGTTATTTATATCCAATTATGCTGTAATTGGGTAAATTTATATAGATGATTCTATCATTTTCTTATATATCATGGTGTATTTCTCAGTGTAATTGTCAAAATCAAGATGTCATATTTTAGGCAAGGCTCAGAAGGAAATTATTCTACCTAATTTAGAGTGTCTGAATATAAACAATATCAAATTCCTCATTATCTTTTAAAAACTATATTTCCACACTTTGTAATTCAAAGCAAATTGTTGCAAGCAAAATATATTGATAAAAAGTTTAAGAAAATGTGTAGCAAATGGAACTGCAATTGGAAATTTTCTACTTATAATATTATTTCATGAAATTATTTTATTAGCCTCGTATTTTCTGAAGTCATTCTAAAGGCATAGTTGCTAGTGACATTACAAGCTTTTTAAAATTAAAAAAAATTTAATATTTTTTGTATTAGAAAGCTCATAACATTACTCTTCCTTCCCTCCTGGCTGCCTCTCAATCCAAAATCATAAACAGGAGAGGTTTAGTAATGAAGATAATTTTTTCATGAAAAGAATGTGCTAATTTTTCAGAGAATATATTTGATTATTTTGATGCCCTAGATCGGTACAACTCATGAAGGTACTAATAAACCATGTCACAAAGGAGAGGATAAGGGTATATAGTTTTTTAATTCAGTGAAATATTCTGAGGATTTTAATTGTTTATATGGCCTTAATAAAACCCCAATTTTTCAGGAGAAAAACACACAGGTCATTCAACAGTTATTTATTTTTTAAAATTTGTTATTTTTATTCAACAGCCATTTAAAATGAACACAAAAATTATAAATTCCATAGACGTTTTTGACAGTCAAAATACTTAACATTTGTCTCCTAATGATGGTGAGCCATGGCATAATGCTAATTCCTACAGGTTTTGGCAGATGAAGAAAGAACCTGGAAGAGGTCATTGAGCTGACATTCAGAGCTTGCTTGAAGTGAATAAATTATTTATGTGTCACGCATGGAATACAAAAGGGAAGAATAAACTTCTGAGCATAAAGGTAGAAGGTGTCATTTTGGCAGACACAAACTGTAAACAAAAAAAACAAACAAAAAATGTAATCCTCAAATAACATTATCTAAATGCTTTTTTCTCCCTCACAGGAAAGAACAAATTGTCATAGTAGAAAGAACATTATATTACATAGAATTATATTTGGCAAAGGGTTAATTGGTGCCTGGAAAGAGCATGAAGTTTTGCAGGGTTGTTTTGGGCCAAACTGTCCTTTCCAGATGTAGCACCATTTGTTCTCTCTCCAATTTCTCTCTCTTCCTTCCTTTCTAATGCCTAAAATATCCAGTGGGGAGAGTCAAGTGCTATAGACAGGTGAGGAAGAGTTCACTTTCCCTCTTCTTACCACAGGTCCCTTAGAACAAATGTATAATCCTGATGTTAAAAAAAAAAATCTCAACAACAATCATGATTTTACCCCAACTGGCTGGAAGACTTGATGGTGAGATTTGCAGAGGTGCTATGCTTTATAAAGTACTCTTATGTGTACTACACCACTTGGGTTCCTCCCAACAGTCATGTGAGGTGAGCACGGGAGGTTTATTTCTTCCATTTTTTTTAACAAAGAACAAATAGGTAGAAAGGAGTTAAGTGATTTGCCCACCAACACTCAGGGTCGAATCTTACACCCCCATTTTGGGACTACTATCCATACGGCCTCAATGAACTTTCATCACCAAGATGTTTCACTAGAACAGACACACACACACACACACACACACACACGTACATATATTAGATATATACATATATATAAATTACAAAAAAAGAACAAATACTCCCTTTGTGATTTTCATAGTAAATATGAAGATCTGTATTTTTGTACTTAATAAAATTTTTTATTTGCATAGACTGAGCACAATTCAGTAAGTTATTTTTTTATTTTATTTATTTATATTATTATTTTATTTATTTATTTATTTAAGATTACAGTAAGTTATTTTTATTTTATTTTTTTACAGTAAGTTATATAAAAAGTAGATCCGTAAGATAAAAAAACAATTTCATTAATATAGGCATTTTTTGAATATTGTATTATTTTTAAAATGTAATTCTAACAAAAAAAATTCCGTATGAATTTCTTGAAATGAAATGCATTTATCACTCAGTTAGTTAATGGTTCAAAGATATCGAGCACATACTGTGTTCTAGACAATGCACTGGGTACTATGCTATAACAGGAAACAAAGAACCCTTCTGTCTGCACCCTCAGAACACTCCATCCACAGCAGATGAGGCAGACATACACCAAAGAGTTATTAAGTGCCTAATGCCAGGACTCTGGGAATCCAACCTAGTCAAGAGGGGGTCAGAAAAGCTGCCCTCAAGAAAAAGCAATTCAGGTAAAATAATAAAAAAAAAAACTTATAGGAAGAGTTTAGTCAAAAAGGAAGGAAGAGAGAGAGAGAGGAGGGAGCACCATGGAAGAGCATTGCAGAAGAAGTAAGCTGTGGAAGAGGAATAATGTAGAATTTAGGGAAGTGGATGTGATCACCAAGGAGACAATCTAGCATTAAAATAGACCACAGACCAAACCTGATGGAACAACCAAAAATATATTATGGCTTTACCACATATTTCACTTTACACTAAATTCTGTTTCTCAGCCAGAGTTCAAAACCACATGAGTATATCATTTTATTTTCTGAAACGCAATATCCATACAGAATGCAAAAACTAACATGCTTAGATAGCTTCTCCTTACAAGAACCCTTCACCTGTACTGTCTCACTGAATCCTCACAACCTTTGCCAAATGATATACTTACTCTCTGCTTTTTATTAAGGCTTACAGACTATTATTTTCCAAGCACCCAGGCTGGCAGATCCAGGATTAGAACCCAGATTTTAGGCTCCTTTCTCCATTGCAGTTTCCAGGACACCACCCAATGGTCCTGTTAGCTTAAGAATCCTATTTGTCCATCAAATGTTTATTAAAAGTTCCCATTTTGGAGGAAAAAACTTTTCATGAACCAAGAAATGAAAAGTAATCAAATTTGGACTCCGTTTCTCCAGTGTCTCCTGTGTCCATTTCCATTGGTATGCAGAATATTTGATGCTCTCTCCCCCACATGACCATAGACACTATGAGCAAAGGCATGGCCAGAAACCATGTCAGGGCTTTGTGCAGATTGACTGGGTTGAACAGTTTCCTTCTTGCACATTTATCCAAAGGTTTTTCAATCTGCTATCACGTTTTTAGGTACTTCTATATATGATTCCAAAGACTGTCACCGTTAATATCCAGAGTTAATGTTCCATCAAAACCTATGTTGGGAGCAAGAATCTTTCCACAGTAAAGCTTAGTAGGGTAAATCCAGTTATGCTTCTAGTTTCTAGCCCATGCTTTGTATTAAAAGTGGCCTCAGCAACCTGAAAGACTGAGAATCCTTCCCAACATGCCTGTTTCTTATTCTGCTGGTAGGAGAGAAAAGGGGGCTGGGTTGTTGGCAACCATCCTCCCAACCAAATCCCATAAATAGTCTGGCCCATTTCTTTTGTGTCATGTCCCAGAAGTTAGTCGATACCTGGGAAGAAGAAAGTAATGCACTAAAAACATAAAAGGTGGCAAGTCAGGTTAATGCAAAATGTAGAAACAAATCCAGATACTCTCCTGAAAAGGAAAATTGGGTTGGCAGGGTCCATTCTGCTACTGGGAACGCACAGCAACCTCCAAACCTGGAAAGAATAGATCTAACCTTTGCAGGAAGGGGGGTAGGGGTGGGGGACATATCACATTCCAGAATTCTGAAGGGCACAGGTTGCAAAATATTGGATAGATTAAACAGAGGAAGAAGCAGGAAAAAAAGATGCCCACAAAAAGGGAAAGGAGTAGGTGTCTCCGGTCTAAGTAGGTCTGGCAGTTGCAGTCAGGCAGCCCAAGGCTGGTGGGCGCCAAACACAATCCAGGCCCCTGCCGGGTGAAAACAGTCCAGCCCTTGGCAAGGAGGCCAAGGGAGCAGTGGGAGCCCAGGAAGACTAGGACCGTTTCCTGCTAGAGTTTCTCAGTTTGGGAAATACTTGCTGCATCATCACTTTGGGGATGGAGTGCTTGTAGAATGCATAGATCCTTGGAACCCAATCCAGACAATCAGAATCTCCTGGGGTCCTCCTACCTGCGATATTTGACAAATGCCCTAGACGAGTCTTACACATGATTAAGTTTCATCACCACTGGCGGAGATGAGAAACCTGAGTGGTCAAAGCCCTTTGTTTATAGACTGCCCAAGGTTCTTTCTTGCTCAGAGCACAGAGGACAGGGCTATCTGGACAAGAGACCTCCTGGTTACAGAGACCTTGGATTCCTCTGTGATGAGAAATCCACCCCCCACCCCCAGGGTCTCTCCACAGAACATCCCCGAAGATCAGGCCATGTCTTCTGACCACTAGTGAGGTTCCTGACAGAGGGTCTGTAGTTTCAGAAGTTGTGTCATATTTAATGGTGAGGAGGACCCGGTCAGGATCCGAGGCTGAGGTACCAATTGCATCTTCTTCATCAGAGCAGCTTCTTGACCCCAGGGTGGAGACCAAAATGGACTGCCTGGGGAAAGGGAAGAGGGAGAAAGATCCTAAAAAGTCATGTGAGCCGGATACCACTCAAGACCCTGCCTGGAAAGCAATATGCGAGGTGCCAAAGGAATACGCTTCCTCATCGAACTGTCATTCAAGTTTTAGGCCCCAAAACACATTTGTGACGAAAACGTGGGAGAAGCAGAAAAACGCTAATTAACTAGATATTTGTATACGTGTTCACTGAGTTTCTATTTTCCAGCAGATAAGCCTGACTAACTAAAACCATGTTCAAAGTCAGGAGCTCAGGCAGAAACCCCTAGTCAAATACTCCAAGCGTTGGCTTGCAGGATAAAAACTGACCTGGAACCACTGCCTACTGCCTGGTAACCCTTGACTCGTACCCCTTCCCTCCCGCTGATGACTGGGTTGGTGAGTTGAGGTCCCAGCTGTAAGGGTCCCTAACAGGGGCTGCGGGCTGCAGGCGGGCCCTGCCCCCTACCAGGCACTTGCCCCGGCTTCCAGCTGGGCGCATAACCAGCCACTGCCACTGCGGGGGTGGGGGTGGGGGTGGGGGGGGGAGGCTCAGAACCACCGCAGGGTCTCCGTAAAGGCTCCTCCACCCTTACTGCCGCCCCCTCAGACGCACTTCCCTGGTAACGATAAACCAAAGGCCACTCCAATAAGGCGGCCTCTAACTGCCAAGGAGCCCAGGCCACTTCCAAGGTCTCCGCCCGCGGCGGCCTCCGACGCCTCCTCTCCTGAAAGAGCGGGCGCCGTCGTCCCACTGCGGGGCCCCTGGCCCTGCCCGGGGACGCTCCAGTCACCTGTGGTCTCCCTTCTCTCCGCAGCTCCAACGGAAAGTCCGTCACGTGGGCCCAGAACGAGAAGAGCAGCCGCGGCCAGCACCTGTGGCAGCGGCTGTCCATACACATCAACAGGAAGGAGAACCCCAACCAGACGGCGGTCATCAAGCCCTTCCCCAAGAGCCCGGAGAGCCGCGGGCTGGGCGCGGGCGGCGGGGGCGCGGGCGGCGGCGGCGGCGGCGGCGGGGGCGGCGGGGGCGCGGGCGGCGGGGGCGCGGGCGGCGCGGGCGGCGGCGGCGGGGGCGCGGGCGGCGGGGGCGGGGGCGGGGGCGGGGGCGGCCCGGAGCCGCCCGACGCCGGCCCCAAGGCGCTGTACGGCGTGGCGGAGGCCGAGGAGCACTTCCCCGCGCCCGCGCGGCCGCGCTCGCCGTCGCCCATCAGCACCCTGAGCCAGCGCGCGGGCTCGGCCGGCCGCACGGACGACGACGTGCCGTCGCTGCACTCGGAGCCCGCGGCGCGCAGCAGCTCCTCGCAGGGCTCGCTCATGGAGCAGATCAGCAGCGTGGTGACCCGCTTCACCGCCAACATCAGCGAGCTCAACTCCATGATGCTGTCCACCGCGGCGCCCGGCCCCGGCGTGGGCGCCCCGCTCTGCTCGTCCTACCTGATCCCCAAAGAGATCCAGCTGCCCACGACCATGACGACGTTCGCCGAAATCCAGCCGCTGCCGGCCATCGAGGTCTCGGGCGGCGCGCAGCCCGCGGGGTGCGGCGGGTGGCGGCGGCGGCGGCGGCGGCGGCGGCGGCGGCGCGGCCCCGCCGCAGGGGGCGCTGCCCGGGAGTCCCCCGCCGCGGCCGGGCCCGACGCGGCGGCCGGCAGGGCGGACCTGGAGGAGCTGGTGGCTCTCACCCCGCCGTCCCCCTTTAGAGACTCGGTGGACTCGGGGAGTACAGCCCCCAACTCGCCGGTGTCGGAGTCGGCGCTCTGCATCCCGTCGTCTCCCAAATATGACACCCTGATCATAAGAGATTACGCTCAGAGCTCCTCGTCGTTGTGAACGTGGTCGGAGCCCGCGCTGCGCTCGGCCGCCGAGCCGAGACCTCCCGCGTTCCCGCAGCCACGTGACCCGTGGGCGCCTGCCTCGGACCCGAGGCGGACGAGGCCGAGCGCCCCCGGGAAGAAACCGAGCTCTGCAGTGCGTTCAGCATCGACCGACCGAGACGCCAACCACGAGTCTTCGGGCAGATTTTCTTCTCGTGGCCTTAGAAAACGTGGGCTTTGCAGAAACACCGCGAATCTTCGAGGGCTGCCAAGGAGTCCGTGGAGCCAGTTCCGTGCCAAGTGCTTTGCTCTAGGGAAGCAATGAGTGTGAAACCGCGTAACGGAGGGAAGAGCGTACTTCGTGAGCGGCTGTAAAAAGTCCTGTTTACTTTCTTTTCCCAGAAGATTCTTTGATTCACCAAACATGAATGTACATTTTCTAACAAACTAAAAATCTGGGACCAAACGTGACCATCTCTCTCTCTCTCTCTCTCTCTCTCTCTCTCTCTCTCTCTCTTTCCTTTCTTTTTTGCTGTCTTTTAAAGACCTTGCAAAGCAGGACCTCGGGCCGGGTACGTACCGCGGCGTTGCTGTGACTGCCCCTTGCGGAACACACAGCTGCGTAGGGAGTGCTGCGCTGACGCGTGTAGGGCTTTTACCAGACACTCCTCTCCGATTTGGTTTGAAATCCTCTTCCAGAAGCCTGCATCCGGGAGTCCACCTAGTGATTTCAATTCACCTCCATTAACCAAGAAAACCAGTGGAAGATTTCTTGACTCTTTTCACCATGTTGCCAATCAATACTGGAGTAGCAAAAAAAAAAAAAAAAAAAAAAGAAAAGAAAAATTTCTGGAATACTGTTTTGTAATTCCCTCACTGGGGTACGTTGTGTAGCTGGAAATTTTCTTTATAATAATAATAATAATAGTAGTAGTAATAATTCCTGAGCTCCAGCTTGGCTATCTCGTTCATGAAATGTGGCCACTCCTCCTTATGAATGCTGTTCCATTAGCGTTGCCAGCTAAAATATCAAAATACGCATTTGGGCTTCTTCATTCCCTTCCTTTGAGAACCTGATGCACAAAGAGCCCCTCTGTTCTTTTCAAGTCCCACCACTGGAAGAATGGTCTGTAGACCCTCTGAAGACAGCGTCATGATTGGAGGGACTGTTGTTCAAAAAGTTAACACAATCTTAAAACACTGGAAATTTTAAACTGTGTCAAGTTGGCTTAGCAGAGATTTAGCTATGCCAGGAAGCAGTGATTTTAACTTTTCTTGGCTGCTTAAACCGGGCAGCTATGAACTATGACAAATGTAGATTTTTCAAAGCAATACAGAATACTAAAACAGAGGAACCTTAATGGATATAAACCACACAGTCTTTCTTAGCCATTCCAAAAAGAGGCAAAGCGATTATTATTTCCTTTTTAAAATAATTATTAATATGATTTTGTGCACTTACTACTGTCACTTTTTAAATACTGCAGAAAAGAGATTTAAAGATACAATAGAAATACATGTGCTTTATTAGGCTCATATAAGTAGAAATCATAGCTCAAGACCTGCATCCACTGTCATCTCTTTCTTCCTCCCTCCCATTACAGCTATCCTGAGGTGCCAAATGTTTTTTTTTGTTGTTGTTGTTGTTGTTTTGGTTGGGTTTGGTTTTTAATTTTAAATAAGGATAGTAATAAAAGGAGGAGGTGTCCTGTAAGTTTAGAGTTTAGTTGATCTAGCCTTATACTAAAGATAGCCTTATGAAAAAGATTTGCTGTGAGGCAGAAGTACATTTTTAGCAGAAAGAAAAATGAATGAAACCCTTTTCTCTAGCTCAATATCCTTACTTGGGCATGTATTTTTTTTATTTACACCTACTTTAAAAAAGAATCTGTGAAATGGAAATATATCCATTGGCATAATTTTTCATTCCCCACTTTTAAAAGTTGTAATAAATGTACTGTTTGACTTTCCTGATAACTGTTCTTATATTAAATTTTTAAATCAAATCTCCCAATATAAAATGTTAAACGCTAATATTAATTTACTGAATTATAAATTTTCAAATAATCAGCCTCCCGTACCAGATTTGAAAATAACGTCTTCAGAGCACCCTGAACCTAGATGTTATAATGAGACTCTTGAAACAGTGAATTCAGCTAAGCTTTATGGTTTCATTGAAATTGAATGTCTGCCTCTACGTGAAAAACAATTGTAAATATTTTGAAGCATTAACACCCCTCAATTCTCTTGAAAAAGATGGCATTCACCTGGAGATTACCATCTGGATATCTTAAACATGGAAACCTTTCCAAATATACTCTACTAAGTTTTAAATTTGTTTCTTAAACCCTTTGGCTGATTTCCATTTTATTCTCAAGTATAAGTTTCACTATACTGACCAATTAAAAAAAACATTTAAAAAAACTTTCTCCTTTTGAATGATCAAATTCCCCTTCTAAATTTTTAGTAGCGTATTTCTTTTAAAAAGTACACTACGTTATGAGAAAATTCATCAGAAATTAAAATTTAATGCAAAGTGCCATCTGATAGTTCTATATGAAAGTATAGTCAACTGTAATAAGAAAAATAATTTATCCAATTAGAGGAGAACAAGATGTGTTTTTCTCTGTGTTTCTGTGCCCTTTGCCACTTCATTCAGTACATTGTATAATACGTAATATTATTAGTAATGCATTCTTGGGATCTTTTATTTTGGAATGATGCTAACTCTGTCTCTTTGCCAATTCTAATACCAGGTTCCAAGTAATAAATCTACAAGGAGAACTGAATATTCATTCTAGGGCTAGGATATGAACTTTGCAATTCATTGGGGTACCTATTTTCATTGAATTTCCTTGAAAACAGTCTGTTCCTGGTGCCCAGTGATAATTCAGTCGGACCAGCATGACCAGAAGGAAGGGGAAAGTACAGTGAAATGGGAAGATACAGAAAAGTGACCCTGAAGGACAGTTTGGTTCCAAGATGAAAAAAGAAGACCGGGTTTGATCAAGTTATGCGGACCCCCTAGGTAGTCCACTCACTCTCCTGTTGCAGGAGAGGAGGATGGGCAGCCCAAGAAGACCCTGTGGATTGGGGAGAAGCATCCCTTTGGGTGAGGGGTGGGGAACAGAGAGGGAGCACGCAAAGGAGCGTCCTAGAGATTGGACTGAAGCAAAGAGAAATAGTAAATCCCCCGAATGTGCTAATCATTGTCAGTGACGGGGTCTTTCCTGGGCTTCAGCTGTTAACCAGCAAGTTATCAGGAAGACTAGGAGCTATTTCTGACCGTGAATGAGTTGTGTCATGGCTCTGCTGCGATCCTGTGACTTCCAAACCAGGAATCAAACACTTTTTAAGAAACAAACATTTCCTATGCTAGTCTCCCAGCAAGATGTACATGTTTTGGAGACTTGGAAAGTATCATCTGAGTTCACGTTTAGCCGCAGCTTATTACTAGCCCTTGAGCTGCCAGAATCTCTGTAGTCAACCATTTACGGTTTTATACTGTGAAAAATACAGATCAGTGAAAAGCATAAAGACGAGGGGAAATTCACTTTCAAGAGGGTCTGAGGCGGGAGAGATCCTCTGCTGTGTGTTAAAGAGTGAGGCATGTATAAAATAGATGGCTGAATTTCACTGATCTTCCCAATGTGAAAAAATATACTATGTATATTGTGTGCATTTCTAGAATTCAATGGCAGCTGCTGGTGGTGTTGTAATTAGAGATCTATATAGAATATAGATGTTTTAGAGAGACGGTGCCAATCCTAAAAGATTTGTGTGGGCTACAAGTGCTTGTACTTACTTTTTTCTGCACTTTAACTGATTTGGTTTTAAGATTGTGTGCGCGTACCTGTTCTTTTTCTGTTGTTGCAGCTTGTACTATTAAAACAATAGAGAATGTTGAATTATTTTGATGTGAATTGCAGATGATTTTTTTTCATAAAGTTTAACATTTTTATCAGCATTGTTTTGCTTTGTACTTGTATAAATGTGTTTTATTTTAGCATTTGAAAGTACATTTGCCTGTTTCTCAGTTGTCTGAATCATGTTATAGTTGGTGTTTGTGAAGTCAGTTACTTTTTGAAAAATATTAAAACAGAAACTATGGTATGACTTTAAGATTCTTCCCCTTAAATGTTTAGAATGTTGTCTTAATAGTGTTTTCCAAGACCCAAAGAGCCATACTATTAATTAATCTTTAAATTCTGAATGATCTACACATTTGAATTATGGGATTTACAAAGTAGCCTGTGGACAATAGATAAAAATGTAAACCAACCACAAACCAACCAGAGATGTTGTCCTCAAAGACAGCTACAAACACCTTTTAAGACATAAATATTTTTTTTTTAGACAATGAAGCATGTAGGGATTATACCTTGTTTTTTGTGTCTGGAAATACAAATACAAATTATAGTTCCACAATTATCTGTGTTGATAGAGGTTACATCACAAAAATAATATAGATTATGTATGTTTATATATCTGTGTATGTCTGGATGTGTATACAAACATACACACATCTATCTATATATAGATATTTTATTTTTTAGTTCATCTGTATACGTGTCCCTGTGTGTGTGTTTGTTTGTGTGCGCATGTGTGGGCATATCTGTATAATTTTACCAGAAAAAAACAATTACTTGTCAAATCACTTTCTACCTTGATGGATTAAGCAAATTTACACTCCTAAACACAAATTATCTAAAACCTAAAAGCATGATGTATGGAAGAGAAAAACAATGTAGATTTTAAAACATAGCTTCTCTCTGCTTCCCTACATTGTATTATTTATACACATATAATATGTATATACATATATTCTTATACATATGGAAATTGATACAAAATATGTTTGATCTTTAAAAAGAGAACCATTTTGTGTGCTTTGTCAGACTCTCCTGCTTCAGTGTCTTCTATTCTGAAGTAATACAAATGGGCATATGTTTATATAAACTTAGGGCATGAGATGCGATATCTGGACCACATAGAGCAAATCATTTTCTAAAGATCAAATAAGTTTTCTAAAGACTCTGTAGACTCACAGTAGGCCAGTCAGAAATAGCAGTGAATTAAAAAATCCATTGCCATGACCCCAGTGACCTTAGAAAAATGACCTTGAGTTCTCTATAACTCAGTTCCTCTTTTTTAAAATGCAGAGATAAATTACAAGAACTTGTGAGAATTCATTTCCTGTACTCCTGGCACATGACAAATGCTCAGGAGATAATAGCTATTATTTGTGGCAACATAGAATTAAAAATCAGCTTAGATATGTGAATATTATTTGTAGAACTATAACGAATTCTTGTCCAACTTAAAGCACATATCACTGGGTATGAGTTGGGGGAAAGCCTATCCAGTTTTGAACTCATGCAACCTTGGAACTGTGCATCTAGGATGATTTAGCAAAATGATCTTAAACACCACAGAAAGAATGCTTTTCTTCTGTTATAATCTATGCTGAACACTGGCCAATTCCTTGGTTATACTCTCCATAAATTGGATCAGTTTTTAAAAATAAACAAGTCTCAAACATTTATTTTCTTATGGTAGTCAGCAAGATATATAGGTAGGTAAATAGAATTATATTAACGAAGTTGTCTCCTTAAACACAGTATAGTATTTCCTTTTTTTTTCTCAGAGTATTTTGAAATTCAGAATCAGTTACTATGTTTCACCCTATCATTTTTTAAGAAGCATTTTAGTAAATTCTATGAAGAAAACCTGTAGACCCAGCCTCTGTGGCCATTCTTAGAGTCCTGAATAAAAAGTATTATAGGAAAACTTAGCCACATGAATGAATTTTTTTATTTTTTATTTTTTTGAATGAATTTTTTAAATTAGCTTTTCGTCCAGAACAGAGCTATTTATTTTTGCTGTGACATAGAGTCTTCTTGAGGTATATGACCCCTATAAACATTTATATAAACAGGCTAGTTATGTGGTATATGTATCAGACACATTTGGCTTATTTATATATAGCTTGTATTTTAATCAGTCGACATAAAAGAAAGCTTTACATAGCTATATTGTTTCTAGAAAAGGACTAACGTTAAGTAGTAAATTATATGAATGATATGTCCATGAAAATTATGTAATGTAGTAAATTGGCTTTCTGAACTGCCAAATAGTAACAGATGTTTCATAAAAGATATTAGAATTTTAAAAGTTTGGAAAATATAAGAACTCTAAGTTAGATGACGATCTTTGCTTCAGAACTTGGCACTCTTTAAAAATGCATTAGCACATTAACTCTAGAAATCTGTTTTTTTATTTTTTATGAGTGGTCTCCTCTGAGTAGAGCTTCATAGAATGAATTTTGAAAATGCTATGATATAAAATTTATAATTTGTACACATTTTTTCCTTCAGTCTTGAAAATTAATTGCTATTTCCATAGTGATCTCCTTAGGCTTTTAAAGGAGAAAACCAAGATTGATAGTGTCACCTTCAGAGCCATTTTAATGAGCCACGGGAAGTCTTACTCAATTTTATTATCCACTTTCCTCCTATTTTCTGATTTCCCAGGGCTCCACCAGAACATCAACTTTAGTCTCAGGAGTCAAGCTGAGGATTTTCTTTTTCTCTTTCTTTCTTTTTTTTTTTTGTTTTTTTGTTTTTGTTTTTGTTTTCATCAGACAGGTTGGATGGCTCCCTTAACTCCAACAGCTTTGGATGAAGTAATATATGACTCCATAGCATTAGGAGATGTTAAGTAGCCTGTGAACTGTATGACAGGAGCAGTAGAAGACTATAAGAGTGTTATCCAGAAGTTATTTTAGGAACTTTATTCAGATTTTTCTAATTTACCTCAATAAGCGAAGTTACATGGACATATCTATAACATTTATCATAATAATGCGTTTCTACTCCTACATATTCAAAATTATTTCTACCTTTTACTTCCCTATGTGTTGTGGTTCTCTGTCACATTCTTTCTGAAGAGCTCAAATCACATCATTAACCCTAGTATAACCACCCCACACTCCAAGGATGTATTAAAAACTCTAAATGGATAGAGAGAAAAGTTCTTATTCTGGGAAGACAATTACCCACCTCAATAATCTAGGACAAATCAAGCAGCAAAATTAGGGGAAGACCCTGGTTAGTTCTATCTGGTCACTAAGAGAAAAGCCAGTAGAAATGCTTTCTTGCTCTTTGCATAATAATACAGAGCCCCAAATTCAATTCTTAAGAAATAAGGAGCTGAGACACAGTTCTTAAGAAATAAGGAGCTGTCCAAGTGGACAAAGTGGGAGTGAGGGGCACAAGGAAAATACAAGTAATGATGGCTAGGCCAAAAGATAAAAAGTCCACATAAATTAAAGGAAAGATAACATAATAATTATGTTACTAAATGATGGTAACCAGCACCATCAGTTAATCCAATCTTCACATATGCAAAACACTGATAGAGGCAGATGCTAAATAAACAAAGGTAGGTATAGGAATATTAATGCCCAACAAGAAGTAATTTAAAATGAAATTAACTTACAGGCAAAAAGGTGTATTTTGAATTGATAAGAATTTACTCGGAAAATGGAACAGTCCTGAACTTATGTGTGCTTAACAATATGACTTCAAAACATATAAAGCAAAAACTCATATAAATATACACACACAAAAATTCCACAAGGAACCTTTTTAATATACTTAACTCACAAATACATCAAGAAGCCAAAAGAAAAAAAAGAAGAAATAGAATTTAGAGGAATCAAATAACATGAATACAATAAAAAAAATATCAAATGTAGTTAGAGCTTTATTCTTGTTAACAAATAATAGACATTCTTTTAGTCATCCATGAAATATTTATAAACATTAACCTTGGATTTGACCACAAAGAAAATCTTAACAAATCCCCAAAAGCAAAAATCATATAGTCTACATTCACTGGCTAAAAAAATGAATTTTGAAACTAAAAAAATATATGCAAAAGAAATGTTCATTTGGGATCTCTTCTCTAAGAGCTTTTTTAGGATGAAGAAAACTAAAATTACAATCTACTTTGAAATGTACGTTAGTGAAAACCCTGCAAATTAAAATCTGTGTAACCATTAAACAGTACTCCAAAGAAAATGTTTTATAATAAATGTGCACATTAAAAAGTGGACTGAGAATTAATTACACATTCTACTGAACATATTGAAAACTAAACAATAAAGACAATACAAATGCTGGTTAAATCAAGATTAATACAAGAAGGAAAATATCTGGGATGTCTGGGTGGCTCAGTTGGTTGAGTGTCCAACCCATGATTTTGGTTCAGGTCCTGATCTTGATAGGTCATAAGATGGAGCCCTGCAGCTGGCTCTGCACTCAGTGGGGAGTCACCTTGAAAGAATCTCTCCCTCAATCACTCCTCCCACCATCTCTCTATTTCAATTAAATAAACACATCTTTTTAAAAAAAGAATACAAATATCTAACAGAAAGTTAAAAGTTATCATTAAAACCAAGGTCTTCTAATTTGAAAAGACCAGTATAATGATGAACACATGTCAAATTTAATCAAGAGAGAAATCAAAATAATATTAGTAATAAGAAAGGAGTCACAGCTACATGTACAGAGAATATATGTAAGAAAACACTAGGTAAAACCTTTTACTAATCTAAAAATATGAAAATATAAAATTATCCAATTGAAACAAAAACAAGGGATGCCTGGGTGGCTCAGTGGTTGACAGTATACCTTCGGCTCAGGGTGTGATCCCAGAGTCCTGGGACCAAGTCCCACATCGGGCTCCCTGAAGGAGGCCTGCTTCTCTCTCTGCCTGTGTCTCCGCCTCTCTGTGTCCCTCATGAACAAATAAAATCTTTAAAAAAAAAAAAAAAGTAGAAAATGCAGATAAACCAAAAATGACAAAATATCATGAAAGAAATTTTTTAAATATCAAACCCTAAAAAGTGTATACCTAAATATTTTTCAGGTGAATTTTATTATGGAATATAAATATATAACTCATTTTATGAGGCTTTTATAACTTGGAACACAAATCAGACAAAGAAGGAAATAGTTATAGGCTATTCTTACAAACATAGATTTTAAAATCCCAAATAAACTATACATCAAGTTGTGAAATTTGATAAATTAGCAATACTTCATACCTAAATATAGTTTATCCTAAGATTTTAAGTGTTGTTCAATATTAGTAAATCTATTAACATAAGTTACTACATTAACATATTAAGAGAAAAATATAATCTATATAATAAATAAGATAAAAAACACTTGATAAGTTGACACCAATTCCTGATTAAAACAAAACAAAGTAGCAACTAAAACTGGAAGGAAATTTCCTCAGATGAGAAAAAAAAATCTATTAGAAACCTATAGCAAACATGCTATTGATAGAAAAATATTAGAAATCCCATTAAATCAGGAATGAGAAATGTTTGCCATATATACACAATTTCTAAAGTGACTATTATTAAAGTGTAAGCATTAGTTTTATTGAAACGAGTGGTTTTACTTGAGGCAACTACTTCTACCTGGACTGTTCTGGGCAAACCAAAACAGGCTCACTCTAACCCACTACTATGACACTTGAGAGATCCCTGGGTGGCTCAGCGGTTTAGCGCCTGCCTTTGGCCCAGGGCGTGATCCTGAAGTCCCAGGAGAGTCCCAGAATTCAGTCTCAGGATTGAGTCCCAGGATCGAGGCCCAGGATCGAGTCCCGCATCAGGCTCCCTGCATGGAGCCTGCTTCTCCCTCTGGCTGTGTCTCTGCCTCTCTCTCTTTGTATCTTTCATGAATAAAATCTTTAAAAAATAATAATATGACGCTTGAAGTGCTAGATAAAATTTAAATCAAGAAAGAGAAAGTAGACTTTAAAGAAAGAAGTAAATCTATTAGAAGATTCATCAACCTATAAAATCTAAAACAAGGAATAAAATACTAAATGTAATGTTATGAAAAGACAAAAAAAGGAAAAAATAGTGATGAGTTTATGACTGGGCAAGCAATTTCATGTCACATATTACTCATGAGCACTGTAAAATCTGCTAAACTAGTAGAGAAAATTAAAGACATAAACACAGTAACTTTTTAATTGTGGGAAAAACAAACAAACAAAAAAAAACAGTAAAGTGTCCCTGACAAAGAGGAAGGGGAAAGATGTAGGTGAGATCCATATCTTGGAACACTTCCCAAAGAGATAGCCAAAGAACAATAATTTAAAGGAGCAGTAGGAGCTGACCAGATGCATACAGAAGAAGAAAACATTTAGGCATAGGAAAGAGCACATCCATTGACACAACAAAGTGCATGATGTGTTCAGGAGTGCTCGCCATTAGTTTGATTTGACTAGAACTCCTTAGGAGAATTAAATGAGAAGTGAAGTACACAGGGTTTGGCACACAGAGTATGTTCCTTTAATGCTAGCTGCTGCAACAGCTATAGTTGTATAGTGATAGTAGTGTTAGATGTTAAGGTTTAATAAAGTACTACATAAAATATGGAACATGAAAATACACCAATGCAAATTTAGATATTGCTACTTTTATTCCTGAGCATTTATGCATCTAACAGGTGGTAAGGTGGTACATAAATTCAAACAATCAGAATTCAGAAGGATCCTACTCACTCATGATTCTCTTTCATGCACAAGCTTACAACTACTTACTATAGCAAATACCAGAACTAAATGTGAGAAAGAAGTTGATATAAATATTTACAACCAAATTAAATGAAAAGTAGATCACCTTTGGTTTGTAACTAATAAAAATAAAAAATATTCAACAAGAACAAAAAAGTGAGAGAAAATGTAACAGACATGGCATTCGAATCAGGATATTCAAAACTGGTGGTGCCTGGGTGGCTCATCTGGTTAAGCGCCTTTGTCTCGGGTCAGGATCTCAGGGTCCTAGGATTGAGCCCCATATGGAGAGCTTCCTGCTCAGCAAGGAGTAGGCTTCTCCCTCTCCTTTTGCCCCTCCCTCCAACTCCTGCACATGGACGCTCTCTCAGGATCGCAAATAAATAAATGAAATCTTAAAAAAAAAAAAAAAAAGAATATTTAACACTGGGGAGGGCAAAAAAGACAGCCTTTAGAAGAATACAAACTACATTGTATATGACTTGGGTCAAGAGCCTCCTGTTCTGCAGCTTCCTTCATTAAGACAATTCCCCTTCCCTAGACCTTCGTTTTCTCCTGGAAGCTGAAACAGTTGTCTTAAATCAACGTTTCTAAGGTTTTTAAGGTTATGCAAGGGCCTTCGTGTCTTTAACACAGTAGATACAACTGTTTTAACTTCTCTGTCCTTTTTTATCACAGCAATAACACAAGATCCACCCTCTCGAAAAAAAAATTAAGTGTATAATATGGTATTGTTAATTATAGGCACAATGTCGTACAGCAGATCTCTACATATTTTCATCTTGCGTTACTAAAACTTTATACCCAACGGATAGCAACGCCTCACTTCTCCCAATCCCTGCCCCTGGCAACCACCAATCTACTGAGTCCGACTATTTAAGATACCTCAGATAAGTGGAATCTTGCGGTGTCTGTCCATTTGTGACTAGATTATCTCAATTGGCAGGAGGTCCTCAGAGTTTACCCCGTTTGTTATTCAAGGAAGCATTTCCTTCCTTCTTCCGCTGGATAACATTCCACTGTATTTATAAACATTTTCTTTGTCCATCCATCTGTTGACTGGCATTTAGGTTGTTTCCACATCGTGGCTATTGTAAATAAGTTAAAAGAAATTAAATATTTAAGCCCATGTTATCCAACACCCTTCTAGAGGCCTGCTTTCTCCTCCCCCCCTCCCCTCTTTTCCTCCTTCCTTTTAAGAGAAGTCCGAGCCTTTACTGGCAAACAGGCTACAAAGCCCCCGCAGTCAGCGGCCGGGATGTCGGGCCAGCCGAGCTCCACAGCCTTGAAGGTGATGAACTCTCCCAGGTAGAGGCCAATCAACCCAGGCTTGTTTTCCACCTGGTTGAAGGCCAGGCCCTCGCAGAAGCCCACCTGGGGCGCTACGACGACCGCAGACTAGGCAGCCCCACAGCCGCGTCTTCAGCGCCCGGCCTCCTACCGGGCGGCGCCTCCTGGTGCGCTCTGCGCAGGCGCCGCAGCAGGCCCTCCGCTTCCGCTTCCGCTTCCGCTTCGGCTTCCGCTTCCGGCTTGGGCGGGTCCGCAGCCGGCGCCTCAGGCGGCCTAGGCCCTGCCCCGCGGCCGGCGGCGTCCGCGACGCTGGGTGCACGTGCGGTAGGTCAGCGGCGTGTACTGTTATTCGTTCTTAGCTGCCGCGTGGTTCTGACCCTCTCCCCTGCTCACGCCGCGCCTGCCACATTTCCTCAGAGCCAGTTCCAAACTGAACGTGTTTACTGCCAGTTTCACAGCAAAGGAGCAGTGCCGGGGAGGAGGGGAGAGGTGGGGAGAGGTGGGGAGAGGTGGGGGGAGGAGGGGGGAGGAGGGGGGAAGGGGGGAGGACGGGGTTGCCCCGTCCAGGTTCCCACCAGACCGGCGCCCGAGGGCTCGGAACGCGGACCCTCCGGCCCTCAGCGGAGGCCCCCAGCGCGCAGGCGAGGACACAGGCCGCCCGCCGAGGCTTTCCTGGACGCTTGTGTCAGGCGCAGAATGACTGGCCTTGGGCGGAGGATGGCAGCCTAGTGCACTGTTGTGCGGCCCTGCCTTGGTGGAGACCTCTAGAGCGCACCAGAGCCTCAGGCACGTGGGCAGAGCACCTTACCCTAGTGTGGGGAAGTCTCGGAGACGCCAGGCGCCCTGGGAAAAGCGAGGAGCGGAGGGGCAGCTGATAGGCGTGACATCTGTGGGTTCGGGACACCTGAAGTCGAGGCATCCCGTCGCTTTTGGTTTCGGTATGGACATGTCTGGTTTGGTTTACCTGAGAAACAAATCATGCACATGAGAAATGTAAGCAATTTGATCATTTTTTAAAAAACTGAATTTGAGAGTGCGCGAGCGCACGAGTTGGGGGGAGAGGGAGAAGCAGGGAGCCCGACACTGGGCTGGATCCCAGAACCCCGGGATCGGCACCTGAGCTGAAGGCACGCCCTTGCTGACTGAGCCACCCAGGCGCCCCGGCAATTCGATTATTTAAATTCCACATACACTTCTTAACACAGGTCCTAAAAGCAGGTTGTTTTTGTCATAATATGTAGTGTATTTCAACCTACCTTTATTTTTTGAGAGATACAGAGAGAGGGGCAGGGACACAGGCAGAGAGAGAAGCAGGTTCCACGCAGGGAGCCCGATGTGGGACTCGATCCCGGGATCACGACCAAAGGCAGCTGCCCAACCGCTGAGCCACCCAGGCGTCCCTCAACCTACCTTTATATTACATTTGACACCTAAGCTAAACGTGAAGCCTCATCCTGTTTTGTCATCAAAACATGGATTTTTCTTCCAAATACAATTTAGAGTAAATTTTAAGTGTTTTTGATAAATGGTAAAGAGTTGAAATTTGTCTTTATATATATGTAATTCATTCAAACAACAAATACTTAATGGGAGCCTGCTACGTGTCGGGGCACTTTTCTACATTCTGAGAGGTCCAGTGATGAACAAAACAAAAGTTATGTTTACATGGGCCTTACTTTTTCTTATTTATATAAATGTGTGTGTTGGTGGAAGAGACAAAAAATTTAAAGCAAAGTCTAGCATATATTAGTAATAAGTGCTGTGGAGAAAAAAAAAAATTGAAGGAGAAAAATGCAGGACCGGGGAGTAATTTTAAAGAAGTTCATCAGGAAAGATTATACTTCTAGGTAATATCTGAGCAAAGACTTGAAGGAGGTTCAGAAGCAAATCAGAACATATCTGGGGAAGAATACAACAGGCAGAAGAAATGATAAATGCAAAGATCCTGCAGAAGGAACAAGTCTGAAAATTTTAGGAACTGCAACTCAAATGTAGTGGAGGGGCTGATCTGGAGTAGCTGCTGATGTCAGTAAGCCTGGAGTCAACTCCTATAGAGCCTTGCATGCCATAATAAGGAGGTTGGCTTTTACTCTTAGGGTTTTTAGCAGAAGAATAACTTATAGTTTATTTTAAGAGGATTGGTCTGGAAGCCCTGAAATAAATTTTTAGGAGGCAGAGTTAGAAAGCAGAGAGGCTGTTAAACTATTGCACTTGACAGACAAGAAACTGATAGTGACTTGCAGACTGTGGTGGTAGCAGTGGAGATCGCGAGAAGGGGTCATAATTTCTGTATATGTCTAGGATGGACTCATCAAGATTTGTTGATGGACTCAAAGTGGGCTACTAAAGAAAGAATGGTTGAGGGGCAGCCGGGATGGCTCAACGGTTTAGCGCCACCTTCAGCCCAGGGCCTGATCCTGGAGGCCTGGGATCCAGTCCCACATTGGGCTCCCTGCATGGGGCCTGCTTCTCCCTCTGCCTGTGTCTCTGTCTCTGCCTCTGTGTGTTTGTGTGTCTCATGAAGAAATAATAAAATCTTTAAAAAAAAATAAGAATGATAATGGGTCCAGGGTTTTTTTTTTATCAGAATTGAGTAGCCTCTGAGTTGGGAAAAACTGCCGATGGAATAGATTTTGGAAGGAGAATCAGGATATGTTGAATTTGAGATGTCTCTTAGGGAAGGTAGATTGGTATTAGGGTTTAGAGCTCAGGGAAGAAGTCTGGGCTAGAGCTGTAAAACATACCAATTATAGAAGATAATATAAGGGCAAATCCTATTACAGTTGACCTTTGAACAACACATGTTTGAACTATAGGTCCACTTATGCACAGATTTTTTACAGTACTATAAATATATTTTCTCTTTCTAATGTTTTCCTTAATAACATTGTAGCTTACCTTATTGTTAGAAATAGTGTATAATATATAGCATACAAAGGATGTGTTAATTGACTATGTTATTGGTAAGGCTTCTAGTCAGTAGTAGGCTATTTGTAGTTAAGTTTTTTGAGATCAAAAGTTATAAACAGGGACACCTGGGTGGCTCAGTGGTTGAACGTCTGCCTTTGGCTCAGGGCCTGATCCTGGAGTCCCGGGATTAAGTCCCATATCTGGCTCCCTGCATGGAGCCTGCTTCTCCCTCTGCCTGTGTCTCTGCCTGTGTGTGTCTCTCTCATGAATAAAAAAATAACATCTTAAAAAAAATTATAAACAGATTTTTGACTATGTGGGGTCAATGCCCCCCACACTGTTCAGGGGTCAACTGTATATAATATGTAATTATTACATAATATATATGGGAAAAAATAAATTATTTAATTTAAAACTCCTTATTTGCTACCTAAAAATTTTGATTCATTAATTACTAGGGGGCATTGTAAGTTTATATATCACTTTACAAATCAAAAATTGAAAAATATTGTATTTCCCTAGTATATTTCTAAATTATTCCTATGATTAGTTGTATTTCACTTAAAAATCAATGAACTTTACGATATAGATGGAAACTTTAAATTACATTTCTCTAGCCTTTAATATTTTACAAGTAACAAAGGTAACTCCTTAGTGTGTTATAAAGTGAGATGGATCTAATTAATACTTCAATATTAGCTCTGACTCAAAGGCAAAATCATGAACCAGTTTCACTTACATTATTGCTTCAAACTGCCCTCTGTAACTTGAGACCTTTGCATAACTATTAAGCATGTTATTCATTGGTGTAACACTCTCTGGAATTTTCCTCCTTAAAAGCTGTGCAGCTGGTCAACAGGAGACTTGGCATTTAAAACCACCTCTAGCTCCAAAGGTCTATCAGTGATTCTCACACATCTTATCTCATGAGACTGCACCCAGGTGCTTCCCTTCAGAACAGCTCGCACTTGAGTTCCAGGCCCAGTCAAGAGACATATCTTAAGGAGAAAAGCAAGCATAAGGCTTCTGGTGTTCACTTGGCATAGAGCAGGATACAGTGCTGGTATTTCATCTAGCATAACAGAGCACCTTGCCTAGGGCATGCCATCACCTGAAGGATAGGCACCATTAGAACCCTTAAGATATACCCAAACCAGTTGTGAGGGTTGTGGTTATCTGGGAAAGTTTTCTAGAGCATGTGATGTTGGAGGTCAGTCTATGACACGCAAGATATTCTTGGCAAAGAAAATAGCATGTACAAACACACAAGTGTGAAGTTCAACCATCTGTGATAAACATGAAAGGATTTGACAGTACTCAAGTGTGGAGTTCTTATGAAGTATCAAGAAAGTAAGAAGGTTAAAAAAAGAAGAAAGAAAGAAAGAAAGAAAGAAAGAAAGAAAGAAAGAAAGAAAGAAAGAAAGGCTTGTATGCTTTGCTAAGGAGTTTAAACTTTACCTTTAAGGTGATAAGGAAAGGGCTTATCATAGAGTAGATTGTCCTGGACAGATTTTTGTTTGTAAAATAGGATTGTGATAGAAGAGGAAATGGAAAAGGAATGGGGAAGGCAAGCTAGAGGCAGATGGATCCATAAGGAGGCAATCTACTTGACAAATAATGAGAGCAGAAACTGTGCAGATGGTGAGGAAATGGTAAATTCAGGAAACATGAAGGAGAATTGATATAAATTAGCAACTGGCTGGCTGTAGTAAGATGGAGAGGATTGGGATGTCTGAAACATGGTCTGGTGAAACATTTAGGAGGCTCAGATTTGTGATGAGTTCTGTTTGGGAGTTGAGAAGACTGCAAAACTATAGTTAACAAGTCCAGTAAGTAGTGGATAATGGGGGCAGAACTCAGAAAAAAGAAGTAGAATCTCAGCAGGAAACAGGTGGCCTTCCCAAAAAGGTAATTGAAGAGGTGTTAATGAAGGAACTATTTGCAAAGGTATGAGCAAGGTTAGGCCACAAACTAGGTATTGGCAGAACCTAGCCATAGTAGGAAGTGGCCATGACCCTTAGGATGGAAAGGGCTAAGGAGAAAGGGAGTCCTGAATGGGTAAGAGCTGCAGTTGTGTGAGGCAGCCCCCTGAGGGCACCATAGTCTTTGGGAGCTGAGAAATGGCATATTCCCTTTCTTTAAAGCTGCCTACACATCTCACATGGGCTGTCTACACCTATGGCAGTTGACTGTGTAAGATATACTTAACTTAGGAGAGAGTAGTCAACTCTAATAGCTTGTCCCTTGCATCAGCCTAGTATACTTATACTATTGCCTTATACTAGGGCAGTTAGCTAAACCTGTAAATCATTAAAATTAGAAGAAACCGTAGAGATTACCTACTAAAGTTGATCATTACCACATCTCTGGATGTGCAT